AATTCAGTGTACCATATGTTAAAACAATTAAAACAATTCAGTAATAAAATAGGGAACACGCCTCGATAATAGGTTCAAATAGTAGATCTAGTTATTGCTGGCCTCGCCACGCTCTACTACAGTTTTCGAACCTAATTCATAATAACACTATATTACTAATGGGTAACATAATTAATTTCTGAAATCATAAAATTTACGGGTCATATGGATGAATATTGGCACACGTGGTTTAACTTATCTAGAGGAGCTGGGTCGAGCTGTCGAGCGATCAGAAGAGTCTCTTTGTACCTTCAAACAATAATAATTTATCAGTCCCCAGTCTTAATTATTCAAAGCTACTCTTAAGTATATATACATTTTCCGGGTTTGACTATCAATTTGGAGGCTTTCGAGTCTAAATTTTACCAAACGGATTGCGGAATCAGGACGTCGAAAACAAAAAATATGACTTTTCAAAAATTCAAATTTTTGGTCAAAGTCAAAGTCAACTACTTTGACTGACGATTTGGAGGCCTTCGGGTTCGAATTTGGTGAAACAGACTTCGAAAACGGATTCGAGACGTCGAAAAATGTTAAAATAAGTATACCCGGAAAAAGTCAATGAACGTTTGCTAGCCGATCAATGTCGGTCAAAGTTCTGGTCAACTGTGCTCACAATCAACAGTCAACTTTTACAAAAATAGCACCTTAACATAAATTAATTACGAAACTAACACCCTTTTAAAAATACTTATGAAACTAACACCCTTTTAAAAATATTTACAAAATTAACACCCTTTTAAAAATATTTACAAAAATAGCACCCGGGTCGGGTCGGGTCAGACCGGTCAAACCTGTTCTGACTGGTCAAGCCAGTTCATATCGGTTTAGACCGGTCAAGCCGGTCAAACAATGCTTATCTTCCTTTCGTAGCTCCCCCACGCGCAGGGGCGGCGCGTGAGGCCTCCTCCAGTTTCCAAAAATTCCTGAAAAAAATTCCTAAAATTCTTTTAATCAATTTCAATACACTTACCAAGCTCGGTTCAAATTTTTGAATGGTGGAGAGCTCGATTTCAACAAATCGAAAAACTTTGACTGCTTTACCTTCCTCACGCGCTGCTGCCAACGGAGACAATGAGGACATCGTCGAACTCGGAACGACACAAGGAACACGATGGTGCGGGCATGGTTTTCAGAACCGGACCGGTTAGCGAACCGGTCATGCTACTGGTTCACTGGTTCAACCGGTCGAACCGCTCCGACTGGTCGAAAGAACCGGACGACGTCATAATTATTTAAAAAATTAAATAAAAATACCAAAATTATTTAATAAAAAATAATTTTTTATATCGCAAGTCATATTCAAAGCAAGTCATAACATATATAAGTTAAAAACCATAAAATCAAGTGAAACAAAATAATTCAAATTTACTACAACATAATATTTAAGGTAAAACATATTAAATAATAAATATAATTATATAACTATAATTAAAAAAAAATTTGGGTTAAAAAAATTATAACAAAATGATATTGTTTGGTTTAATTTTTTTTAAACAATCCCACATGGTTAAGAAACATAGAAGAGCATCCCAAAAGTCTAAAGAGTAAAAATATGAGAACAAAACAATCTCACATTGCTAAGAAACATAGAAGAGCATCTCAACTAACTTCTATAAATAATAGAGGTAATTTGACATTCAAAATCATGGAGCCTTTTGGTGAGCATTGAGTAAACTATTCTTTCACTTCAATCAAGCTCGAATTTTAGGCTTCAATCGAGCTTCTAAATTTTTTTTGAGTTCAAGCCTTTTTGAGTTCAAGTTTCAATATTATATTTCGAGTTTGAGTTGAACTTGATAATTTTTAGCTTGTGAGTTTGAGTTGAGTTGATCTTACTTTTAAAGTTTTCAAGTTCGAGTCGAGCTCAGCAATACTCGAGTTCGACTTAGCTCGTTTAACAAACGACGTTGTTTGGTTAAATTTTTTTTTAAAAAAAAATCCCGGTTTTTCCCGATTTTTTTCGGTTTTCAGCCGGTCCGTTCGAACGGTTCAGCGGTTCTGGCCGGTTAACTAATAGCGGTTCAACCGGTTTAGATTGAACCGGACTAAGCAACGGTTCCCGATTGAACCGGTTGAACCGGCCGGTCCGGTCCGATTTTCAAAACAGAGGGTGCGGGAGGTGTCGAAAACTGAGCAACGTTCGGCAATGAATTTAATATTTTCTCTGACTCAAAATTCCCGACGTTTGGCAGCGTTTCGCTATAATTGGTTTTCTGGGTTTTGTTCACGGGTCGAAGATGAACACGATGGTGGTTTTAATTTGACGATCGGAGGTCAGACGACGTCGGAATCGAGCTTAAAAGAAGGTTGTTGGAAGGGGAATTTTATGAATTGGTTTTCTGTGTGTTCACGCAGAAACCAATTCATTTCCTTTGAAAGAAAAACACTCAAACGTATAATTCAGAGTTTGGTCACTGAATTTCCTTCAACTTTTAAAATGGACTTCAAGTTTTTAAAACTTTTAATTTAGTCACCAAATTTCACCAAATTAATATATATATTTCGTTTTTCCGGGTTGTTACATTGAAATCCCAAACTTAAGACTAGCAATGCAGGTGAAACTAATTAACTGCATTTGTTGAACTATAGTTTCTATTTTTCTTTTTACTAGGGTCATGAAATGTATATATATAAAGAAATATTATTATATTTGTTATTGGATTAATAAATTAATATTAGGACTTTTTAAATTTTAAAAATGAGAATAAAAATAATCAAAAATTAAACTCGTTAAGCTATTTTAGTGGTAATATAGAAAATTGATATCTTTAAAGATTTTGTGTACAAACAATTGCAGTATATGCAATTTTAAATAACTATGAAAGATTTGTTCAAAATATTATCTTATAATTTTTATTTTTTAAATATCATATAATATAATACTTGATAATTTTAAGCAAAAACATTACAATTTCTTTAATCAGTTTCAAAACGGTGATATAAAGAAATTATTATTAATAATTTAAAATCAATAAATTTTTGTCATAATATTTTCAAACCTCATATAGTCTTTTAATTTCTGCAATTCTTCCATGCTCATCTGATGCATATTGTACTGTTCTTATGTTTTAAGATATAACAAGAAACATAGAAAAGCCATGGTAATGGCTTTAATCAAGCAGATCTACCGTGTTCATCATCATCTATAGCTGAAACCGTAGCTTTTGTTGTGTATATATATTAGGGTTTTTCATTTCAGTTTTATAACTTGCATCCAGATCAATCATCCTTTAAATAAAAGTGTTAATTCTTTCAAAAATATCTATCTTGATCTTTGATCCTTGTGATTATAATAAACTTGATCAATCGATCTTGGATACATTTATTTTTTTCTTCCAGCTCGATGGAATGTAAAGAAGAAATATATACTAAGAAACTTTAACACTTACAAATAATTTTACAGCATCTATAGCTAATTCTATCCATTTGTATGCTATTTACTTGGTTTTCATCGGAGAAAGAGAGATTAAACCAAAACGAGTGCATTTATTTTTATATATTGATGTCTACTTTTTTAGCAAATTTATAGGTAAATTCAAGTGAATTGGGAACATAACTGGGTGTAATTGATTTGACATGGGCATCAGTTTTGAAACTTTTGAGGAGATATAACTAAAGTGACCAAGTCCCAAAGAGAGTTCTAGATTTATTTACCTTTAAAGTTGTCAATAATATTTGCCATTTTATAAAGCACCAATATTTTGTATTAAATGAAATGAAATGAAATATGATGACCCAGTATGGGGTATAACAAAGGGATGGAAATGCGAATTATGAAATGAGGGAATATGGATACACCTTTTTGGTAATGGAAGGGAGATACCCTTTCACCCGCATCATAAATTAAGAATGTTTCAGATCACAAACTCTAACATTAAAAAAAAAACAGAAGAAAAATAAGAAAAGCAGTAAACAACGTCAAAGCCAACATCCGCCAATCATTGTGAAAAAGAAAAGCATAATGTGGTGGTGAGGGTGCAATTCAGTGTGTAGGAATTATGAGCAATGCAGAAGGTAATGAGATACGGTGCATGTCAGGTTTCTCCAGATTAGTCTTGGAACCTCGGTTGACAGAAGCTTTGTCCTCCCTCAAGTTTTGTTTTGGTTTAAGATTTTGATAATATTATTATTGAGTCCGATTGTCTCCAAATTATTAATGCTTTAATTAATCTTAATTAACTTGTAGGAATTTAAATTTAATTAATATTGTACTATGGTCTCTAATTTAATTTATAAATTTGATTAACACTATGGTTTTAATTGGGTTTTTTTTATCATCTTTAGTTTTTTGCTAAGCACTTCTTTTATAGTTAAGTTCAGGCATATATACATGAAGTTTTTCAGTAGATCATTTCAGCATGTCTCTTGAAAATTTCTTTGAGCAAAGAAATTGTTTATGTACCTGGTTATGGCTTTGTTTAAGTGAGGTCTTGGGAGGGGTAATTAGAAAAAGGTCCTCCATTCTTTAGTATTTTATCCTAGGCCTTTCCTAGCAGAACCTCATTTGGAGTCTAGGTTGTCACCGGAAGGAATTGAATGTTTCCTTCTAAGGTTAAACTAGTAAGCAAATCTTCAGTTCAACTCCGTCAAATTGAGTTGTTATATCTGATATTTTAGAGCTCAACATATTTAGTAGTTGTTCTACTTGAGAATTTGAGTTAAAAAGTTTTCAATTGTTTGCATGCAAACTGCAAAGAATGGATGGAATGATCAGAACACGTGCACTTATGAACAACAACAAAATTACTACATTGCTATATACAACTTTTCCAACTATCCATGCCTTGATTGAGATCATGTTTTTTCTTATGAAATCTAACTCATGCTTGAGAAGAGTGCAAATCATGTCTGGTGCTTGTTTCTTATTTAATCTATCTGGTTTGCCATCTGTTCAAAATATTATACACAAAAAAATCTGAAAAATGGGATTTAAAAAAAGCTTGTCTTGGATATTTTAACATGGATTGACTGAGCGTAAAGATTCATCGGGTGCGCCACTTTGCCCTTGTAGGTAAACATTTCCCTCCATTATCTCTGAATCTTGTTCGGAATATTTAATCCTATTATTCTCACATATCTTTTTGGTATTTATAGCTATATCAGATTTAGTAAGCATTGAAGTGTAATTCCAATATATTACAGGCATTATGACGACAAAGCTGCCGAGGTCAGTCAGGGCTTTTGGAATTGTCCATGTGTTCCGATGAGGGAGAGGTAAATATATTGTTGCAACATACTTTATAAATATTCCTCACGCAACTCTGTCTAACTGCAAAAGTAGTATGGGAAGTAGAAAGATCTTTTGATTCATCCTAGAAAAGCATAGACAATAAGTGCCTATCTAAATTGAGCAGTCTATGGCCATTGTTATATGGTATAAAACCTTCTGAGATCCCTTATAAATATTAGTTGCATTGTTATGCTGATTATGGACTTAGTGAAAACTTCTGAACTGATAACACTGTCCTGAAGAACTAAATGGCTATTATTTGAAATTACGAGCATAACTTTAAACTTGTGATTGAGATTGATCCTAAGGACTTTCAGCACACTAGCGTTTCTTGAATTTTTGGTCTTGCAATGAAAAATTCAAGCTATAATTCTCTTCTTCAAGGGGCCATGTCCTAGTTTATGCATTTTCTTTAGCAAGCAAATTGTTTAATGGGTTGAACCTTGAAAGTTCAGGGTTTGCTTATATAAAGGTTAATTGTTGAAACATGTCTTTGTTCGAGGCTGCTGCCTTATATGATACAAAAGCTGGTTGCTTGAATGCAGCTTGAGAACAATGATATCACCGCTGGCTCTCAGATATTTTCAGTTTTCATGAATCTACAGCTAATAAGTCAATCACTTTAATTTAATCTATGCTCTCTTATTCAATTTCCAAAACTATTTGGCAGGAAAGAATGTCACTACATGCTCTTTCTCACTCCAGATAATGACTTTGCTTGCCAGGATCAGGTTTATATTGTGGCTACTAATTCCTTTTGTCTGTGCTTACAAGCTATGTTACTTAGACTTGGTTGTGAATGCTGAATACAAGTAGGTGTCTAACATGGATATTTTCAATTCCTTTGAAATTTTTCCATGCATCTGGAGGGTTATATCTTGTACCCGTGTATAGATATACTTCATACACGGATGTCAAATACGGATGCTTAAAGAAAAGTGAGGAGTCGGAGCAACATAGTTGATGAGCATCGTGTATATAGCAGAATTTTCTTGTGGTGTTTGCTCTAACAACGTGAATATTTTTCTTCATTATATGCAGACAATCACATTGGAAGAAATCAAGGAAACAACAGCCAACATGTAACGCTTGACACTTCAAAATTTACTTCTTAAACAGTCATAACTTGGTTTTGCCCCCCCTAAAGAGAAGAAGAATGAAACCGAGGTCGAATCTTTGTATATTTGTATGTCCATAGGGGATAAATTCTTTTAATTTTTTTTATTATAGTTCTTAACTCTTTGTATCAATCATGATTTTATTTGCTGCCATTGATTTTGGAATTCTTTTGGTTATAAACTTGAGTCATACAATGCAATTGTTGAGACAGGTTCAACTTCGAAGGGAGGAGATTCGTGTTCGCTTAAAGCATGGAAGGATGCTTCTGCATCCGTAACTTGAATCTTTCTTCCAATTTATGTGGAACGGGTATGTTTAGTATTTCTAAAATCTCATTTATAAATATCAGAAAGAAGATTAAAGCTATGGAGATTTTCATTAAATTTACATTAAAAAGAAAATAGAGAGAAAAGCATTGAAAGTCCTAATAGGCCTTTAAAGATGGAGTAGTTGGTGATGAAGGCCGTCCGCTCTTGCCACAATCTTTACCATTCCTCAAGTGAAAAGCAGCCAAGAACTTGTCATTCCAACCTGCTCTAGCCGCTGCCGGCACAGAGGAAGAAGCCTGTTTGCAAGCATGATCGGCTGGAAACCTGTGTTTTAAACAAACCTCCAATCCACAAGCCTTGCAAACGGTTCTGTTAGAGAATGTCAACGTCTCTTTACACCTTCTAACAGGGCAAGTTGGTTTCTTCTTCTTCCTTGGATCACAATTCCCAGATTTCACATGTATCTCCAATATAATCTTCTCTTGATCTTCTTTGCCTGTTATCTCGATCGATGTCGAACAGATTTCACATATAATCACCCTCCTGCTGTTATGTTCCGGTTTCGGACATTCGTGAGACTTACACGATTTATGTTCCAAACAGAACACCTACACGGATTTGTTTTTAATACAAAAGTTAATACAAACATTAGAAATATAAATGTAAACATACAAATGAATCTGGGGTTTAACTTAGTTGCATGCTTCATGCAATCATCCCGATCAAACAAGAGGAAAAAGAATGAAGGATAAGTAAGGGGTACCTTATGACAAGCTTGGCATTTGAAAGGAAGAAAATCTAATTGATGACAACCTGAGAATTGGCAATGTTTTCCGAGATCAGGAAAAGCTTCTGTCCCTCCGGCCATTGACAAAGATTTTATCAGAATGTGTTATTGTAGGGAGAGGCCGGAGGGGAGATGATATATAAAGAAAACTGAAAAGGGGTTGTCTTGGGGAGTAAGCCAAGGCCTGTCGGGTAACCAATTCCGTGTTGAAAGCCAACTTTATACTTTTGGGGAAACTTCTACGGAATGGTGGGGATCCAGCGTGTCGGCTTATTAGTTTTTGCCTATATTTGAATGGGTTCCAATTGAAATACGCCACGTTCCTTTTAGGAAAATGGGCTGCCTATGAATTGACCAGCGCTTCCTACTAGAGCCCAAGCCTGTGTGATGATATTTAGGAATCTATAGCCTATTTCACCCCACCTCTGGGAATTGCTTGCTTACACAGTGAACAAATAATAATCACATATATGTTCAATTTCAAAATAATTTGAGTTGAAATTATTATTTTATAATAAATTTTTATAATACTTAATATAAAATAGGCAATTATTGAGTCAAATATTGACAGTTATAATAAAATATATATTAATAATTATATGCTTCTCAAAATCTATTCAAAGTTCGCAAAATTAAATATAAAATAAAATCCATCAATTTTTTGGTTAGAGCCCAACTTGAAATAGAGGGGTTTGAATGCTTGTTCACAAATTATAAATGCGAGAAACACTCCTTCAAGAAGTCGAACAATATACTTCAAAATTAATCTCATCAGATGACATTCAGAGAAGATTTGAGTATTAGGACATTAAATCTTTAGATGAATTTTTGTCAATTTTGAGTGTATTTTTAAGAAGAAAAAAATGAGTGAAATGTAAATATTTTAGTATCAATCTTATCACGGATGAAAATCAATTGTAGTTTTGATTGACAACGACAATTAAATGAGTTTACAATTGTCTATGTGGACCAAAATGACACATAAATAATAGTTAAATGCCTAAAATGAATTGTTTTAAAATTTAGTGACAAAATCACTACACAAATTAAAACTCATGGGAAAATAAAATGGTCATGTCATCACGTTGTTAAAGATTTAGCAACTAAGTGCTTATAAAGAAAGCAAAACTAAAGTTTGGTGTACAAATTGGAGAGTTTTAAAGTTTAATGGTAAAATCGACATGAGCCATAAAATTTAGTGATGATTAGAGTAGTTTACCATAATTAAAATCAGGTGTAAGTGTTTTCTTTTTAATTTTTTGAAAATATTATCATGTCTTTTTAGTGATTTATTGTATTTCAAAAATATAAAATATTATTTATGTGAGGACACTATTTAGGGTGTGTTTGGTTCACGGAATGTAAAATTACCAGTGGGAATAAAAGATTACCAGGGAATAGGATTACTGGGAATGTTGTATTTTGTGTTTGGTTGTTTTAGCAGGAATGTAAGATTACCGTGTTTGGTTAAAGGAATAAAAAATTATTTGAATGTATATTTGACCAAATTGTCTTTATTATATATTTGTTTTATTAACAAGATGGAAAATATTTATATATTTTCTTTAAAAAATTTAAATTCATAAAATTTATATAATTTTTTTACAAAATTGAAAATATAAAAAAGTTTAATGAAAGGGTAAAATTTTATTTTAACCCTTGAACTTCATATAAAATTTTAATTATAGACTTTTTTTGTAAATCTAAAATAGTTTAAGGATAAATTTGTAATTTAACATTTATAGAATTTTTATTATTCAATGACAGAATAAGGATATTTTTGAAAAGAATTTTTTTTAAGGGCATTTTAGTCCAAAACGTCGGTAATTCAATAATACCTAAGAAAATGGAGGTAATGACATTCCCGGTAATATACCCCAAAAAATATACTATTGGTAATGTAAGATTATCGGGAATAACATTCTCGGCCAACCAAACGGAGGAATGTGGATTTCATTCCATGGGAATCTCACATTCCCCCAATCAAACACACCCTTAAGGATTTGGAATGATTTATATAGTAATTGTCAAGGTTATCTTTGGGTGTTGATGACTTGGGAAAAGTCATCCTTCGATTCTAGTAAAAATAAAATTTAAGCTCAAAATCGTGGAAAAATATCGGCTATATTATCGGAGTCGGTGATAATTATTGACGATTTTAATTTAGTTTCAATTTTAGTTATTATAACGTACGATCAAAACAATAAAAAATTAAAAAAATTATCTAAAAAGAAGCATTCATGGTACGCGATATAGACATATGTTACCATACACATGAACAAAATCGACAAAAGTGGCATATGCATGTAAGCCTAAGCCTCAATTACTCTACAAGGAACAATATGATGGTTATATTTTTTTTGGATAATTTAATTTTATTACCGAAAAAGCAGATGACTGCTACAAAAACAATTAAAGTTCGGATTTACAAAGATCGCCTTAAAACAGAAAATGGCAATCAACCCATTAAATATACCCCATCGGTTACAAAGAGTAATATTAACATTGTCTAATCTACTAATAGGTCTACCCCTTAGATGAAATCCAACAATTTCCTTGATAGCATTGAACATATCTTCAACAGTTGAGGAATGATCTTGGAATAACGTCTTGTTTCTTTCCTTTCATATGGTGTAGATTAAGGCATTCGAAGAAATTTTCATAATAAAAGTAAGAAGGGATTTACCCTTCCAAAAAACAGCAACCCATCCATAAAGAGCATCCCAAGAAGGTTGCCTAAACCGTAGACCATTGAGTGAGAAAAGTTCAGACCATAATGAAAAAGTAACCGGGCACTCGAAGAATAAGTGATTCCTAGTTTCCATTTCAACAACACAGAAAATGCAGTGGCTATCATTAATAATCCCCTTCGGTGTAGCCTTTCTTTAGTAGGGAGTCTGTCAAGGAATGCCATCCAGGCAATAAGACTATGTTTAGGAATGAGAAGAGATAACCAAAGCAGAGAGTGCCATTAAACTTTAGGACTCTTCACCCTAATCTCATTCCAGATATCACCAACTTTCGTAGCATCAGAGGGAAAAATTGAGGAGGCTTCAGTTCTTAATTTCAGAATCTGTTTTAAGCTCCAGCTCATGTTAGGTTTTACAGCAACTGTCCAGAAATCATTAGCATTGAACATGTAATTCCTTAGCCAAGCCACCCACAAAGATCCTTCACTAACCAAGATCTTCTTAATGAGAATCATCATGCAAGCTTTGTTCCATGTTTTCATGTCTTTAAGGCCAAGACCTCCCTCTGATTTAGGTTGGCAGATTTTCTGCCAGCTCACTCTAAGCACCAGCAGCTGGCTTATTAGCCCCTTTCTAAAAGAATCTTGAACATAACTGTTCAATCTTTTTAATAACAAAGTAGGGAAAGAAAAGTTGCATATACCAAAAAATTGAAATGCTAAATAATACAGCTCGAACAAGCTCCAATATTCCAGCATAACTTAAAGCCTTTCCAAACTAATGATTCAACCGAGCTTTAATGTTGACAATAAGGCAGAGCAATCCTTTTCAGAAAATTTCCTTGTGACCAAAGGGCTGCCCAAATATCTTATAGAAAGATAACCTAGTTTGAATCCAGTGATCAATTCCAATTATTCAAGAGTGGAATAAGAAACACCAGCAGAAAAGAGGTCACATTTGGAAGCATTTAATTTAAGACCAGACATTTCATAAAATAAATCAAGGACAGAAGTGACCCCAATAACATAATCCACAGTGCCTTTGCAGAAAATTAAAAGATTATCAGCAAATGGTAGGTGAGTAAGACCAATACATTTGCATTTGGGATGATAACTAATCAAACCTTTAGTAGCAACCAAGTTCAAGAGCTTAGAAAGAACATTTATAGATAGGAAAAAGAGGAAAGAACATTTAAACACTCACAAAAGTTAATACTCAATTAACGTACGATTTCATGATATTGAATGTAATGATAATATATTGCATATGTTGAATTTTTTTAAATCAAC